TGAAAGCAGAAAATATTAGAAAGATGTTTATTTGTGTTTTATTGACTAGGCAAAGGCTTTTGACTGTGTGCATCATACCCAACTATATGGAGAACATTGCAAAGAATGGGAATTCCAGAATATTAAATTGTGCTCATGTGGAACGTGTACATAGAACAAGATGCAGTTGTTGAAACAGGACAAGGGGATACTAAATGATTTAAAATCAGGTAAGGCATGCATCAGGGTTGTATCCTTTCAATACACTTATATAATCTGTATGCTGGGGAAATAATTTGAGAAACCGAACTATGTGAAGATTAACATGGCATCAGGATGGAAGGAAGACTCAGTAACAACCTGTGATGTGCAGATGACACAACCTTGCTAACTGAAATCTAAGAGGACTTGAAGCACTTTATCATGAAGATCAAAGACTAAATCCTTCTGTATGGATTATATCTCAACATACAGAAAACAAAAATCCTCACAAATGGACCAATAAATAACATCATGATAAACGGGGAAAAGATTGAAATTATCAAGGACTTCATTTCACTTGGATTCACAATCAACATTTATGAAATCGAATGATGTATTACAATGGGCAACTCTCCTGCGAAAGACCTCTTTGAAGTGTTAAAAACCAAAGATGTCAGTTTGAAGAATGAGGTGTGCCTCACCTACCCATGATGTTTTCATTTGCCTCTGATGTGTGTGAAAGCTGGACAGTGAATAAGGAAGACCAAAGAAAAACTGATGCTTTTAAATTACGGTGTTGGTGAAGAATATTAGATATATCATGGACTTCCAGAAGAATAAAGAAATCTGTCTTAGAAGACGTATAGCCAGAATGCTTCTTAGAAGTAAGGATGGTGGCATTTACTTTGGATATGTTATTAGGAGGGACCAGTCCCTAGAGAGGATATCATGGTGGGTAAAGTAGAGAGTGAAGGAAAGAAGATGACCCTTAATAAAATGAATTGACAGAGTGGCTACAACAATGGATTCAAACATAGCAACAATTGTGAGGATGGCACTGGGACCAGTGAGTGTTTCGTCTGTCATATAAAAGATTGCTATGAGTCCAATCTGACTTGGCAGCACCTAACAACCACAATAATCCTACAACCACACTGGAGGGTGACTATTGTACTTAATCTTTTGAGTAGAGACTAATTAAGGGTCTCATCTAAAGTTCCACAGTTAGAAACTTGCATGAGCAGAAGTAAGTGTGAAAGAATGCGCTCTCCCAACTATATGATGTGTCTCCCAAGGCTAACTTAGTCAATAAGGACATAGTCTAAAAAGGTCAGAAACCAGCAGCTCTTCAAACATTTTATGCCCAATTAAACTAATAAAATCACTAAACTATAGAAGTGGGGATGGAGTTAAAGTACAGGCAGAAGAGAGAATTTCTTGATTGTATGAGTTTTGCATGTCATCTATTCTTGACAAATGAAAGGCCCATGGATCCAGAAAGAGATTTCACAAGACCAGGAAAGTGTCCAGGACTGGACTCTGGCTGTGGGGAATAATATTAATAAGTATACATACTTACTCTTTGCCAAAAGAGGGCCCAAGAAACGTCACTTCTTCATGAAAGCCTCTGTGATCATTGTTTTCCAGTCAGGTCAAAATCCCCAATAAAGGATTCTTTTATGTAGTACTTGTTATCGCTTTTGTTGTTTTTGTTAGGCTTTAGCAAGTCAGTTCTGATTACAGCAACCCTGCACTGGACTGCAAACCACAAGGTCAACAGTTCAAACCCATCAGCTTCTTCTTGGAAACCCTATACAGGATTGCTTTGAGTAAGAACCGACTCGACAGCACTTAACAATAATAGCAACTGGATTTCTGGTATGGCACTGTATGATAAGTACTGGACTGCAAACCACAAGGTCAACAGTTCAAACCCACCAGCTGTTCCTCAGAAACCCTACAGAGCGTCACTATGAGTCAGAATCAACTCAACCGTCACTTAACCAACAACAACAATGTACCAGAGAACAAAACACTATCCCGTCTTGCGCCATCCCCACAATTGTTATATTTAAGTCCATTGTTGCAACCATTATACCAATCTAGCTCATTAGGGAGCGTTCTCTTTTCCAGGAACTGGTCTCTCCTGATAACAGGTCCAAAGTACAAGAGATGAAGTCTCGTTGTTCTCAATTCTAAGGATTCTGGCCATACTTCTTCCAAGACAGATTTGTTGGTTCTTCTGGCAGGCAGTCCATGGTACTTTCAGTGTTTTTCACCAACACCATAATTCAAAGACATCAATTCTTCTTCAATTTATCTTGTTCATTGTCCAACTTCCACATGAAGATGAGGCGATTGAAGATATCATGGCTTGTGGAAGGTGCACCTTAGTTCTCAAAGTGATATTTTTGCTCTTTAACATTTTAAAGAGGTCTTTTACAGCAGATTTTCCCAATGCAATGCATCATTTGATTTCTTGACTATTGTTTCCATGGGGGTTGATTGTGGATTCAAGTAAAATGAAATCCTTGACAACTCCAAACTTGTTTCCATTTATCATGATGTCTTTTGGTCCAGTTGAGAAGATTTTTATTGTCTCTGGATTGAGTCGAAATCTATAGTTAAGGCTATGTAGTCTTCGATCTTCTTGAAAGCACTTACTAGTGCTTCAATCCTTTCTGTTTTCAGTAAGCAAGGGTTTTTGTTGTTGTTGTTGTTAGTTGTTATAAGTCAGCTGGGGCCCATGGCAGTCATATGTCTAACAGAACAAAATGATGCTCAGTTCTGTAGCATCTTTATGATCATTGGTAGGGTTGATTCCATTGTTGTGGCTCAAGAAGGGTTTCCCTCATTTTCACTGCCTCTTTATTTTGCCAACCATGATGTCTGTTTCTAGCAATTGGTATTTCCTGATGCTTTGTCCAAAGTAAGTAAGCTAAAGTCTTGTCCTTGTTTCTAAGGAGTATTCTGCTTGTACGTCTTCTAAGACTGATTATAGCACTTACTGCTGTTCTATTTCTGGATAATCATTTAAACAAGCTCTTTCTCCACTTCAGTAAGTATTAACCCAATGAAGATAGAGACGATCTCTGCTTTGTTCAATTCTGTAACTCAAGCTACACCCATACTGACTGCCACAGAGTCACAGCACAATGGATATTGGGTGAATAAAGAAATAAGGGATCACCTTGCATTATTTCACTGTAAGAAACAAGTGACTAACATGCTAAATTGTAATGCTTCCTAAGAGGTAGATTTAGTCAGTATTTCTTAGGAGTTTTCCAGGAATTTTTGTATTTTAAATATGAATTATTTATTTTTGTGGTATTTTTGTGTTAACACCTTTGATGTATTTATCTTGAGTAATTATTGTTGTTATCCTTTACACTATTATTTAGCAGTTGCTGGAGGAAACATAAGAGCCAGTTCTTTTTGTTTGTTCCCATATGAATAATAATCAATTCTTTATTTTCATAAAAATTCCCTATCTGTTTAAATTTTCCTCATAATATAATTTAGCAGTAAGCATGCCTTGGGCATTCTCTTTTTTGATCATGGGAAAGAGGAAATATTGATCCTGAGAAGAAGAAGAATAAACTCACTCTTACCTTCCATAAGTAAGATGAAAAGGTCCTTTAAGATAGTGATGGTGCTGGCCAAAACCAGGATGGAAAAGACAAATGTGCAGATTGGGTCTGCTATTTTGTAGTCTGGCTGGAAAATACAGGGACATTGGTTAATTCAATTTATGCTTCTCATGTATAAAGACAGTTGGAGAAAACAAGTAACTTTCCTCCATCTTTTTCCTCCATTACCCTTTCACCCTCCTAATATTCCATTCAGCTCATAAGCAAGGTTCTCTTCCTAATGATTCAGGAACCAGTGTTCTTGATACCGTTAAACTACCAGTGACTAAAGAAGGGAGACTTCAGGAGATACTCTCCTCATCATTTGTGAACAAAAGGTAAAATTCTCAAGAGGCCTAATTTATTGTTGTTGTTTCATGCCATGGAGTCAGTACTGACCCATAAAAACCCTAGCACAACAGAACAAAACTCTGCCTGGTCCTGTGCCAACTTCAAAATCATTGCTGTCTGAGCTCATTGCTGCTGCCACTGTGTCAATTCATCTCGTTGGGGGTCTTCCTCTTTTTCTCTGACCCTCCACTTTACCAAATATGATACCCTTTTCCAGGGACTGGTCCCTCTTGAGAATATGCCTGATGTATGTGAGACAAAGTATGGCCATCCTGGTTTCCAAGGAGAACTCTCGCTATACTTGTCCAGATACAGATTGGTTTATTCTTTTGGCAGTCCATTGTACTTTTAATATTCTCCTCTAACACCATAACTCAAATGTACCAATTTTTATACATTCTTCCTTATTCACTGTCCAACTTATGCATGTATATGAAGTTATTGAAAATATCATGGCTTGGGACACGAACACCTTAGTCATCAAGCTGATATCTTTGCTCTTAAACACTTTAAAGCGGACTTGTGAAGCAGATTTGCCTAATGCGATATGTCCTTTGATTTCTTGACTGCTGCTTCCATGAGTGTTGATGACTGATCTGAGAAAAATGAAGCATTTGACAACTTCAATCTTGTCTACATTTATCTTGATGTTATTTATTAGTCCAGTGGTGAGGATTTTTGTTTGCTTGACATTGAGATGCAACCTGTACCGAAGGCTATGGTCTTTGATCTTCATCAGTAAGTATTTTAAGTCTTCTTGGCTTTCAACAAGCAAGGTTGTATCATTTGCATATCACAGGTTATTAATGAGCCTTCCTCCAATTCTGATGCCATGTTTTTCTTCATAAAATCCAGCTTCCTCGATTATGTGTTCAGCATACAGATTAAATAAGTATTGTCAAAGAATACAACCCTGGCACATACCTTTACTAATTTTAAACAATTCAATGTTTCCTTTTTTCTGCTCGAGCAACTGCCTCTTGGTCTATGTAAAGGTTACTCATGAGGACAATTTAAGTGTTCCAGAATACTCATATTCTACAATGTTGTCCATAGCTTGCCATGATCCACACAATTGGAAGCCTTTGCATAGTCAATAAAGCACAGGTAAACATCTTTCTGGTTTTCTCTATTTTCAGCCAAGATTCATCTGACACCAGCAATGATATCCCTTGTTTCACATCCTCTTCAGAATCCAGCATGAACATCTGCATGTTGTCTGTCAATTTATGATTGTAGCCATTTTTGTATTATCTTCAGCAAAATTTTACTTGCGTGTGATATTAATGATACTGTCCAATGATTTCTGCATTCCATTAGGTCATCTATCTTTGGAATGAGCACAAATATGGATCTCTTCTAGTCAGTTGGCCAGGTAGCTGTCTTCTAGGGCATTTCTTGACATAGATGACTGAATGGTTCCAGTGCTGCATCACTTAGTTGAAATTTTAAAATTAGTATTCCATCAATTCCTGGTGCCTTGTTCTTTGCCTATGTCTGCAATACACCTTGGACTTCTTCCTTCAGTGTCATTGGCTCTTGATCATATGCTACCTTTTGAGATGGTTGAAAATTGAGCATTTCTTTTGGGTATGGTGACTTGTGTGTTCCTTCCATCTTCCTTTGATGCTTTCTGCATCATTCAATATTTTACCCATAGAATCCTTCAATATTTCAAGTAGAGGCTTGAATTATTTTCTTCCATTCCTTCATCTTAAGAAATGTTGGGAATGTTCTTCCCTTTTGCTTTTCTAACTGCAGGTCTTTGCACATTTCATTATAATGTTGGACTTTGTTTTTCAAGCTGCCTCATGAAAATTTCTGTTCAGCTCCTCAGCTTACCTCCTCATTTCTTCCATTTGTTTCAGAGTCTCTTCTGATATCCATTTTGGTCTTTTCCTACTTTAACTCTTTCAAATTAATAAAATAGAAGTACAGAGTGATGAAAATGTGCACAATTATACCCATGATGTCTAATGACTTCTAGGCCTTAAATATGTTGAGGAGAAGAAAAGGTATAATTAACTCAGAAGTTGCATGAAGGTAATATACAACTAGACCATGGCTTGGGATCAGTTAGCTTATCTCCTCTCCTACCAACACTTGGGAGTCTTTGTGTGACACTGTGGGTTAATGTGCTGGAGTACAAAGTCAGCCTGAACTGTGAGGTCGGCGATTCAAGCTCAACAGTCACTCTTCGGAAACCCTACACTGGGACACTATGGGTTGAAATGACTCAGCATTTAACAATAACACTAACCAATACTTGAGACACACATCTCTGATACACACCTAAAGGCAGAAGCCAAGGCTGCTTTCTTTATCTCTCTTCAATGAAGATTATGGCATCAGGTTGAATTTTCTGCTATTTTGATGAACTGCTTTACCTCAGATGCATTTGTAGTGATTTCAGTGAGCATTGGTCAGAGGCCTATCCAGGAAGTATTCCCACTTTCCGTTAACACCTGATGTGTGTGTGTGTGTGTGTGTGTGTGTGTGTGTGTGTAGGGGGTTACTTTCCACCCATTTTGAGCAATTGTGATAGGACAGTGAATCAGGTGATCTATACTTCTCATGTGCAGCAGCAGGTAAAGACCCAAACGAGGTCAATTAGATACCCTTTCTTGGAAATATGAATCTTTGGCAGAGTGACAAGAACAGAATAACATCAATTGGTCACATAAATTTAAGCATAGTGACTGGGCAGAAGGTAAAATGTCCATAAAACGAATTGCCCATATCTCTGTTCTAATTTCTGTTGAATGTAACATCCAAACTATTTCTGCCAATAAATCTTTTTTGATTAAGTGAGTCAAAGATCTTTTTCTGTATTTACAACCCCAAAATGCTAAGGTAATCAAGATTCCATTGTTGTTCATATTAATTCCATGGCAGAAGGAATTGATTTTTGAAAAAGATGGTAGCTCTACAGTTAAAGACATAGCTTTTAGAAATTTGGCAAAGTCAAAGATTGTAGGGTTTTATTTGTTTCAACAATTGTAGGCTGTATACTCTCTTTTAAACTAATATTAGAGGGTCAACTTTTTATTACGTAATCCAATGTTAGTACATTGGCAGGAAACTGCCATGAATTCAAGCCCTTTTCACAAGAGGATGTAGAACAAGGGATGTCATTGTCAATGTCAGATGGATCTTGGCTAAAAGCTGACAATATCAGAGAGATGTTTATTTGTGCTTTACTGAATATGCAAAGGCATTTGACTGTGTAGATCATAACAAACTATGGATAACTTTGTAAAGAATAGGTATTTCAGAAGACTTCACTGTGCTCATGAGGAACATGTACCTAGACCAAGAGGCAGTTGTTCAAAAAGAACAATGGGATAATAAATGGTTTAAAATCAGGAATGGTTTTCAAATGGTTAAAATCAGGAAAGATGTGCACAAGGGTTGTATCCTTTCAGGTTCTATTCTTTCACCATATTTATTCAAACTGTATACTGAGTAAATAATCCAAGATGCTAGATTATATACAGGCAAGAGAATTGGAGGATGACATTAATAATCTGCATATGCAGAAGACAACACCTTACTTGATAGAAGCAAAGAAGAGTTAAAATACTTACTGATGAAGATCAGAGTCTCCATTCTTCAGTTTGGATTGCACCTCATTGTAAAGAAAACAATAAATAATATTGGACCAATAAATAATATCGTAATAATTGGAGAAAAGATTGTTTTCAAAGATTTCATTTTACTTGGATCAACCATCAACACTCTTGGAAGCAGCAGTCAAGATATCAAATGATGTATTGCATTAGGCAAATCTGTTGCACAAGACCTTTTTAAAGTGTTCAAGAGCAAAGATGTCAGTTTTAGGACTAAGGTGCACCTGATCCAAGTCATGGTATTTTCAATAACCTCATATGCGTGTAGGTGGACAGTGAATAATAAGAAAGACAACAGAAGAATTGATGCATTTGGATTATGATGTTGGTGAAGAATATTGAAAGTACTATGGGCTTCCCGAAGAGCAAATAAATCTGTCTTGGAAGAAGTACAGTCAGAATGACCCTCAGAGGTGAAGATGGTGAGACCTCCTCTCATAGTTTGGTTATGTTCTCAAGAGGGATCAGCTCCAGAAGAAAGACAATGCTTGGTAAAGTGGAAAGTCAACAAAAAAGAGAAAGACCTCCAACAAGATGGAATGGCATAGTGGCAGCAGCAATGGTCTCAAACATAACAACAATTGTGAAGATGTTGCAGGACCCGGCAGTGTTTCATCCTGTTGTGCATAAACAGGGTCCCTATGAGTTAGAACTGACTTGACAACATCTAGCAACACCATAATTACTATGAAGGTAGCTAAATTGAAACCCACTCACCTTAAAGTAGATAATAAGTGCACCTGTTAGCACACTGACGCTCTGAAACAGATCACCAAGAGCATGTATAAAAGCTGTTCTGACACTGGCATTGGCTTGTGCTTCCTTATGACTGTGTCCAGGCCACCCTTGATGCAAAATCACACTTAGTCTGAAACAGAGAATAATGTTTTTAGTAATATTCACTGTTAAAAATCAAAATGCTATATAATAGAGGAATGGACATTACCATGCATTACCCAAAATGGTGGATGTTGAAATATTTATGTTTTAAAATGTACTATTTTAGACTATTATTTGAACACAGTGTACCATAAAATTCTGAAATTTTTACACAAGGCCAGACTACTACAATTCATCTCAGTTTTCCCATTAATTCACCTAATGGTACTCTCTTTCATGCTAAACTGAGGAAGCATCGCTTCTTAGATAAATGCTAAGTATTTGACCATGAAGATGGGTGATATCATTTACAGAGTGTCCACTAAATGCCAGGCACTGAGTAAGGCATAAGGTAGAGCTCTGGTGATGGTTATGTGCTGTGGAGTCAACTCAGACGAGTAGTGATCCTGTATAGGGTTTCCAAAGTTATAAATCCTCATAGGAGTGGAAAGCTTCATCTTTTCCCCACAGAGTGGCTGGTAGATTTAAACTGCTAATTTTTCAGTTCGTAGCTCAGATCCTTAAAGTAGAGCTTTGGTGGGAGGCTAATTAAATGTACGGGTTTCAAATGTAACAAGCTGCAGTTAGGAATGATATAAAATAAAAAGTAGTAAATTTCAACAGGGTTGGATTTTTTAATCTTTTATTTTGCCTAACTATGTTAATTTCCATAAGAATTTAAAATTTGAGTATCTCCCAATGTCCAATAAATAGAAGACCATGCTATGTACATGTGGCTACTTATTAAGAGACTAAAATATATTAATGTATTATAGATGAGAGTTCTAGTGTGGCACCGTGGGTTCATGCACTGGACTGAAGGTCAGTTTGAAATGCAAGATTAGAAATTGAAGCTCATAAACTGCTCCTAGGAAACCCTGTACAGGGTCACTATGAATCAGAACCAATTCAACGGCTCTTAGCAACAACATTATAGATGTACTTGTAAATGTACATATACTTGTATTGTCAAATATAGTACTTCCTGTGGAAGTCAAAGTGATAAGTTGTCACTTTTATTAAGTGCACAATTCTATTTATACCATCTTAAGAAGTACTAGATAAAAAATGAACCTCTTCACTGATAGCCAAAACAGTGTTTTGCCTAAAACCTTTTATGAACCTTTGTGAATAGAAATTAACAAAACAAACTCAATTGGTCAGGACCACATATTTCAATCTATCTGCACACAAATTGTCTGTTAAATCTCATTGCATCACCAGAAATTGGGATGATTGTTACCCACCAATACGTGATCATTACAAAGTGTTCCGTTCTCAGTTTGTTTTTGTTTGAGTGGAAATTCTCCCTAATTACACAAAAGTAAACTAAAACCCACTGCCATCAAGTTGAGTCTTACTTTGTTGTTGTTGCTGTTAAGTGCCTTTGAGTCGGTTCCGACCCATAGCGACCCTGTACAGGGTTTCCGACGGTGTAAATCCTTACGGGAGTAGAAAGCCTCATCTTTCTCCCGCGGAGCGGCTGGTAGTTTCGAACCACTGACCTTAAGGTTCGCAGCCCGATTCGTAACCACTACGCTACCAGAGCTCCTTACTTACAGCTCCCTAAATTAGGAGTTGTCAATTAAGTTCTTGTTGTTGCTGGTTGTCCTGGCAACTCTCTTCTGACCCTTTGTAGGGCTTCCAACGAGCAACTGGTGAGTTTGAACCTCAGACCTTGTGGTTCAAACTGCCTTTCAGTCCAGTGCTTTATCCTAAAGTGTCACACCATTTAAGGCTGCTAAGACATTCTAATATGGTCATGTGTGCTCACCACATTGTTATGCATTTTTTACTTTGTTTTATTGAAAATAAAATACCTATGGACCATATTTCAGACCCTGTTAAATGCTTGAGCTATAAAGGATAAAATTAGACATGGCCCTTCCCCAGTGGAGTTTTCAGTGTGTTGGAGGAGACAGAAATTAAATAAAGACACAGATAAATATAAAATTCTGTAATAAATTCTACAATGATCTAGGATTATGAAAAGTACAACAGGAGAGTTTGAATTAGGTAGTAAGACATAGCAGTTGAGCTGTATTTAAAAACCAGGAGTAAATTATCCAATAAGCAAAGTAAGCATGGGCTTACTTTTGCTTGCTTACTAATTCAGAATGAACACTTTCACATGTGTTTTACCATATTTGTGGTTTAAAAAAAAAACAAAAAAAAAACATGTGAGACTATTTACTACAAATTAGTAAGGACAAGCAAGCCCAGGCTTACCTTGTTTATTGAACACTCCATCCCCATCAGGGACTGTAAATTTGAAAAGAGGGTTTGGTTCTGTAGGAAGAAGCTATGGGGTTGGGATAGAGATCAATGCTAATAATACCTAGCAGCAGAATCTCTGATGTGGTGAAAAAATGTGAAACTGTTCACTACAAAGTAAGCACAAGTAAGCCCATGCTTACATTTTTATTGGGTAATCAATACAGTTTCAGGCAGAGAAAATTCATTATAGAAAAGTCCTAGGTCTCTGTCTGTCTCTCATCCTCACCCCTCTACTAGAACTTTCAGACATGACTTTGTTCCCCAAATTATGGCTCTGGTATCTCTATATTCAGACAATACAGCCTCTAGCAGACTTGGAATTTGCAATCTTAGTTCTTCAATAGAACATTATAGTGAGAAGTATCTTCATCTATAAACAAACACTTACTTGTCCAGGTAGTGCAGAGTTTCTCAATCCCTTTGTCTTTCTAAGGGTGAAAAATATCAACAATGATAATGTCAAGGGTCAAGAGGTGCTGCTGTCACAAGAGAGGATTTGGGTGGATGTATTTAACAAGCCAATTTGATCATGGAGGGTCCCAGATTTATGTGCCAACTGGCTGACAAATCCATGTTTTGGTAGCTCTGACATATATGACTCTCAGAAACTTATATTTTTATTTTCTGGTACTTTTTGAACACATTGTTCTCTTTATGTAAAGATGATGTTATTGACTCCTAGTCAGGGAGACATGTGATCTGGGTTGTCTTTTAGTGGCGATAAATTTGCATTGATCTGCCCACACTTTCTCTACCAGCGCCAATGTGAATCACAATTTAGTTAACTGGTTAGAGATAGGGATCTAGTCAGTGACAACAGGTCACACACCATTCTTCTGCTTGGCTCTGAGGCTTACAGAATGGATCCCAGACTGAGCGGTGGGAATATGAGACCAGGGGTATAAGGATATCTGACTTGGGAGCTTTGTCGTAGTGCAGATGATCAGTTTTCCTTTCTTCTATTTTTATAGGAGCTCTGGTAGTTTAGAGGTTACAAATTGGGCTACTAACCTCAAGGTCAGCAGTTTGAAACTACCAGCAATTCCGTGGGAGAAAGATGAGGTGCTCTGCTCCCATAAAGATTTACAGCCTTGGAAACCTTGTGCAGGGTCACTATGAGTCGGAACTGGCTCCACGGTACTTACCAACAACAACAATTTTTAAAGATTCCATTGTGCCCTCTCTTGAAAACTATTGTTTAAAATTCTATTCTTCTATCATTGTCTCCATCCTGATCGTGTGTAAACCTTCCTTGTGTTGTTGTTGTTAAGTACCTTCAAGTCGGTTCCAACTCATAGTGACCCTGTATAGGGTTTCCGAGAAGTGGTTGGTGAACTTGAACTGCCAACCTTGCTTGTAATTAATTTTTTTTTACAAGATAGATGGACAATGCATCTATGTATTTGCTGTAACTAATTACCACAAATCTAATAGCTTCAAATTACACAGATTTATTGTTTTATAGGTCAGAATTGATCCACAGAGCTGTACTCTCTTTGGAGGTTCTAGGATAGAATGCATTTAATTGCCTTTTCCAGCATTTAGATTCCATCTACATTCCTTAGTTCATGCCTACTTCCTTAATCTTCAAAGCTATCAGTGTAGCATCTTCTTTGTACTCTAAACTCGTGTCTCCTTCTTATGTGATTATATCAGTCCAAGTCAGATAATCCAGGATAATCTCTTCACTTCAAAAACCTTCTTACACACATTTAAAAATTCTTTCTTGTCATGTAAGATAATTTATTAAAAGATTCCAGGAATTAGGATATGGACATCTTTGGGGAAGCAATTCATCTCTTTATGATAGATGGGTAAATGAATGGATAGATTGATATAATATGAAAGAGAATGGGAGGAAGGAGGGAAATAGGGGAAGAGAGCAGATGGGAAGGGAAGGGAAGGAAAGAGAAGGAAGAGAAGAGGAGAGGGAAGAAAGGAAAAGAAAAAAAGCCCTCAGGCATCATTGCCCAGAATTAGTTCCAGGAATTGATGGAATACTGTCTCTTAGTTCTCTAATGCTGCTATGATAGAACTGCCACAAGCGGATGGCTTTAACACACAGAAATGTATTCTCTCTATGTTTAGGAGGCTAAAAGTCCGAATTAGCTATCTGACTCTACATAAAAGTCCTTGTCTTCTTTCAGCATGTGTAGACCCAGCATTCTTTAGAGGTCTCGGTGTGTCTTAACATCAATCTTCACCTGGATCTAGGAACTTCACAGTGCAAGGACCCCAGGTAGAAAGGATGCACTTCATTCTCGGCTCTTCTTTATTTGTGGTAGTAGCTCCCTCTCTTTCTGTTCATTCCTCTCTCATTTTATCTCTTGTAAGATCAAAGGTGTTAGAGAAAACACTCCTGGGAAACAACCTTATACTGGTTAAAGTTCTGATGGCATTAAGGATATTTCAGCCCACCCTTAATCCTTTTATTCAGATCACATCATAGGGAAACACCATATAACTGCCACATTAATTCATTACATAACTGTTAAACCACTGAGAAGGATTCCTGGTGTGGCGCTATGGGTTAATGCATCAGACTGGAAAGCCATTTGAACTACTAAATCAGCAGTTCAAGCTCACCAGCTGCTCCTCGGAAACCCTATACAGGGTTGCTGTGGGTCAGAACTGACTCAACAGCACTTCACAACAACAACAAACCACTGAGAATCATGACCCAGCCAAGTTAACACATACATATTATTTGGGGGTGGGGAAAGTGGAGGGGAGAGGGTCACAATTCAATGCATGGTAAATACCAATTGAGATGTTTCAACAAATGGATGCAATGCTGGAAGCAGTCTATGCCCACAAAATTTGGATACAACCAACCAACCAACCAACTGGGAGAGATACATAATTGTACCTAATCTAAATGAAGATGACCCAACAAAATATGGAAATTGATGAATACCATATCTCACAGACTTTAGACATGTTATTAGGAGGGACCAGTTCTTGGAGAAAGACTTGATGCTTGGTAAAGTAGAGGGTCAGAGAAAAAGAGGAAGACAAATGAGATGAAACGACACAGTGGCTATAACAATGGGCTCACACAGCCATGATTATGAGGGTGACACATGACTGGGCAGTGTTCCATTTTGCTGTCTGTAGGATCACTATGTGGCACTGTAGGATACACTCTGGATTGCAAGATCAGCAGCTCAAACTCACCAGATGATACTTAGAAACTCCATACAGGGTCACGATGAGCCAGAACCAACTTAACAGCACGTAACAACAACAGGGTCACTATGAGTCAGAGCTGACTTAACAACACCTATCAACAACAACATAATTATTATCACACACAAGTAAAATTTTGCTGAAAATAACTAAAAAATGATTGCAGCAGAACATAGACAATTGTTGTTAGGTACCATTGACTTAGTTCTGACTCATAGAGCTCCTAGGCACAACAGAATAAAACACTGCCTGGTCCTTCACCAAGCCCATTACTGCTGCCGCTATATCAGTCCATCTTGGTGGGAGTCTTCTTCTTTTCCACTGACCTTCACTTTACCAAGTATGATATCCTTCTCCAGGAACTGGTTCCTCCTGGCAACATGTCCACAGTATGAGACATGAAGTCTTGCCATTCACACTTCTAAGGAACATTCTGGTTGCACTTCTTCTAAAACAGATTTGTTTGTTTTTCTTGTAGTCAAGATTATTCACCAAAATTTTAATTCATATGCATTGATTCCTCTCTGGTTTTCCTTATTCATTGTCCAATGTTCACATGTGTATGAAGCAATTGAAATTACCAGTTGCATCTTAGAACTAACACTGAATAATATCTTTGCATGTTAACACTTGAAAGAGACTTTTTGCTGCAAATTTGCGTAATGCAATATGCCCTTTGATTTCTTGACTGCTGCATCCATGAGTATTGATTGTGGATCCAAGAAAAATGAAGTCTTTGACAACTTCAATCTTTTCTCCATTTTAGCATGATGTTTTTATATTGGTGCAGTTGTGGGGATTTTTGTTTTCTTTACACTGCAGTGCAATCCATACTAAAGGTTGTAGTCTTTCATCTTCATTAATAAGTATTTCAAATCCTCTTCACTTCCAGTAAACAAGGTTGTGCCATCTGCAGATCACAAACTGTTAATGAATCTTCCTCCAATACTGATGCTACGTTCTCCTTCACACAATCCAGTTTCTGTGATTATTGCTCAGCATAAAAATTGAATAAATATGGTGAAAGGATGCAACCCTGGAACACGCCTTTCCTGATATAAAATCATTCAGTATCACCTTAGTCTGTCCTAACAACTATCTCTAGGTCTATGTACAGATTCCGCATGAGCCCAGTGAAGTGTTCTGGAATATCTATTCTTCTCAATGTTTGTTATGATCCACACAATTGAATGCCTTGCATAGTCAATAAAGCACAAGTACATATCTTTCTGGTATTCTCTGCTTTTGGCCAAGATCCAGCTGATGTTATGAGCCAGGTTGCTAACCTCAAGGTCAGAAGTTCAAAACTACCAGCCATTCTGCGGGAGAAAGATGAGACTTTCTGCTCCTGTAAAGATATACAGCCTCAGAAGCCCTATGCAGGGTCACTGTGAGTCGGAACTGACTCCATGGCACACCACAGTAGCAGCCTTCATTCTAAGTCCTCTTCTGAATCCAGCTTGAATTTCTGACAGTTCCCTGCTGATGTACTACTGAAACCATTTTTAAATTATTCATCACCAAAAAATTTACTTTCATATGATATTGATGATACTCTTCAATGATTTCCACATTCTGTTGGACCATCTTTTTATGAAATGGGCACAAATATGAGTCTCTTCCAATTGGTTGGCCAGGAAGTTATCTTGTAAATTTCTTGGCATAGATGAGTAAACACCTCCAATATTGTATCAGTTTCTTGAAACTTTTAAATTTGTATTTCATCAATTTCTGGAGTCTTCTTTTTTGCCAGCTTGGACTTCTTCCTTCAATATCATTGGTTTTTGATCATATGTACCTCTTGAAATGATTGAACATTTACCAGTTCATTTTGGTACAGTGATTCTGTACATTGTTTCCATCTTCTTTGGATATTTCCTGTGTCATTCAATATTTTGCCTAGATACACAAAAATTCTAGTTGGATTCAGGAGTGAACATAGTATGAGGGATACCATTGTTTATATTGAATGGATCTTAGGTGAAAGCAGAAAATACCAGAAAAATGTCTACCTGTGTTTTTTTTACTTCTCAGAGACATTCAGCTGAGTGGATCATAACAAATTAGATATAACACTGCAAAAAATGGAAATTCCAGAACACTAATATGTTCTCACATGGATCCTGTATATAAACCAAGTGGTACTCATTGGAACAGAACAAGGGGATACTGCATGATTCAAAATCAGGTCAGGTTTGCATCAAGATTATATCCTTGCACCAGACTTATTCACTCTGTATAGTGAGCAAATAATCCAAGAAAGTGAACTATAAAAAGAAGAACCTGTCATCTGAATTGGAGACTCATTAACACCTGTGATATGCAGATGGGACACCCTTGTTTTTAAAAGTGAAGAGAATTTAAAGCACTTACTGATGAAGGTCAAAGTTTACAGGCTTTTCGTATGAATTACAGCTCAACAGAAAGAAAACAAAAATCCTCATAACTGGACCAATCAACAGCATCATGGTAAATAAAGAAAACAATGAACATGTCAAAGATTTCATTTTACTTGGATGCAAAATCAAGTCTTATGGAAGCAGCAGTCAGGAAGTCACATGATGCACTTATTGCACTGAGAAAATCTGCTACAAACGACTTCTTTAAAGTGTTAGAAAACAAACATATCCTCTTGAGGACTAAGTTGTGCTGCTTCAATTCATGATATTTTCAATAACCTCATATGCATGCAAAATTGGACAATGAATAAGGAAGACAAAAGAGTCTAGCACAGTCTCTGACATATAGGAAGCATTCAAAATTGCTAGCTATCATGAGTCGATATCAAAATCCTTGCAGCTTTCCTGCCCAGTTTTGCAACTCAACCAGCTTTATTTTCCATTTTAGAGCCATTTGAACATTCTGTTGGTCTCTTCCAACCCCACAATATTATGTTGTTTGTTGCCACAGAGTCACAGAGTCAATTTTGACTCATGGTTACCCCATGTGTTGTAGAAAAAGTCTGTTTCATAGAGTACTCTCGATTATAGTCTTAATGGAAGCAGATCAGCAAGGCTTTCATTCCTTGGGATTATGGGATGAGTTCAAGCCACCAATTTTAAATTATCAGGTAAGCACAAACCATTTGGACCACCCCGAGACCAATCCTATTGTTGTGTACAGTTGAGTCAATTCTGTCTCAAAATGACCCCTTATGAAAGAATTGAACTACTTCATTGGGTTTCTTAGGCTGTAATCTTTACAGGAGCAGATGGCTAACCCGTTTCCCCAGTGGAGCCACTGGTGGTGTTGAACCATCTACCTTTTGGCTAGCTGCCTCGCCACTTAACCATTGCACCAACAGGGTTCTTCACAACAGAGGTATGAAAAAATTCACATGCGGACATGAGAGTGTGTGGGGGTAACTTACATGAGGTTGGCTATCACAGCACAGCCTGAGACAATGATCATCACAGTGGCCTGGATCTGGTAGTCAGGCCGCAGCAGGCGCTCACATGCTAAGTAGACCAGCACGCCTGTCACCATCCAGATGCAGAAGATAGACAGCAGGGAGCCAAGGATTTCTAGGGATTCAAACATACAAAGATACCCACGTTCAATTGGATCAACAATCCCTCTAACTTCCCACAAGTCATAAAACATCGGTGCTTCCCACTCCCCAAAAATGTAGCTTCAAACTAGTTCACTTTGTGATTCACTAAGCAAACATATGGATGGATTTCAGGGCTAATATGAGTCACTTTAATGTTGCATTTATAAACTGCCAGCATCTGAGTTTATTATGCTCCATATCACTAAGCATTTTTCAGCAAATTTTTAACGCATAGTAATTGCTCCCTGCCCTCACTGTTCTCCCTAGGGATTTTAATTTAAACAGGTGTTAAAATGATGGAAACTTATTAGGAGATGAAATAATGAGGCACAAAGAGTCAAATGTGTTTAGAAACTCTTAATTTCACCATAAAACATTTGCAACTTGCTAGTATCAGCGACTTTGGTGGAATAAAAGAGTAAAAAGAGAAGGCTTCAAAGAGAAAAGAAGTATCAGAATAGAGACATTAACATTAATGTTTAAAGACAGGATCTAACGCAACCTTTCCATCACGTAGAATTGTTGTGTTATTGTTAGGTGCCATGGAGTTGGTTGTAACTCACTGTGAGCGACCCTATGGAGTACAGCAGAACAAAACATTGTCCAGTCCTGTGCCATCCCCACAATCATTCCTAGGTTTGAGCCCATTGATTCAAATACAGTACCAATTATCCTACTGAGGATCTGCCTCTTTGGCTGACCATCTACTTCAACAAGCATGAGGTTCTTCTCCAGAGACTGGTCTCTCATGATGATATATCCACTGTACTTGAGACAAAGACTTGCTGTCCTTAATTTTAAGGAGCATTCTGGCTGCACTTCTTCCAAGACAAAAGATTTGTTTGTGCTTCTGGCAGTTCACAGAATATTCAATATTTTTTTTTACCAATACCACAGTTTGAATGCAGCAATTCTTCTTTGGTCTTCCTTATTCATTGTCCAGCTTCGACAGGCAACTGAAAATACCATGGCTTGTGTCAGGTGTACCTTAGTCCTTAAAGTGACGTCTTTGTTTTTTCATGCTTTAAAGAGGTCTTTTGCAGCAGATTTGCTTAAGTGAGATAAGTCACTTGATTTCTTGACTGCTGTTTCCATGAGCCTTGACCAAGTATTCGAGTAAAACAAAATCCTTGACAACCTCAATGTTTTCTCCATTTATCATGATATTGCTTACTGGTCCAGTTGTAAGGATTTCTGTTCTGTTTATGTTGAAGACTGTAGAATATGATTGCTTAATTAGGAGTTCCTTAACACTACATCTTGGAGTCCTAGGGTGGTGCCATAGGATAAGCACTGGCCCACAAAGTCTGTTTGAACTGCAAGGTTGGCAGTCAAATTCACCTGCGGTCCTCAGAAACCCTATACAGGGTCACTATAAGTTGGAATCGACTCAACGACACTTAACAACAACAACACCTTGGTCTTAAACTCTCCTCTTTCAGTTAATCCTATACACTTGGTTAGCTATGTGCCTTGGAGCGAGTTGCAACTCAGAGCAACCCTGTACAGGGTTTCCAAGGCTATATATAAATCTTTATGGGAGCAGAAAGCCTCATCTTTCTTCCACAGAACATCTGGTAGTTTTGAACTGCTGACCTTGAAGACAGCAGCATCTCGTACCTTCTACACTACCAGAACTCCCTTATCCTATATACTAGTCCCCTTTAATGCCACATAATGTAACATATGGGTTTTCTGGTTGTGATTACTGTTTCTTAGATTTCAGTCATTTGCATACAACTTTTATGATTTTTATCATATCCACATGTCAACTGTCTTATTAGCCACTTAATATTTTTTCTTTGAATACATTTATTTTTTTACAGTTAGCTTTATCTTCAACAAAATTACGAGGACGAGTCAGAAATTATCCACACTCCAATTACATTAAATTGTCTGTCCACGTCCATGGTTGATGACAACACTGAACATGCACATTAAATGATTCTGTGGAATAGACAAGTAACTGGATTTGGGGTAAATCATTTGCAAATAAGGCTCTGCCTATGAAACAATCCACTACAGTCTTGGGTTCTGAAAGGTTTGTGTGAGATGGGTATCAAAACAGCTTACAAAAGAGCATAGACAGAAGTGTTTGGATATCTACAAACAAAATGTGGACCGACACTCAAAAGGGGCATTGTTGCTTCTGTTGTTAAGTGCTGTAGAGTTAGTTCTGACCCATAGTGACCCTGTGCACACACCTGGATTCCCGAAAGGCGGTTAAAACTTTCTTAAAAAAAAAAAAAAAAAAAAATGTTACTTAGATAACAAGAAATGAATTTGTCACTATGAGCCTGAAAGTAAATGGCAAATTATGGAATGGAAACATCTTCAATCTCTGACCAAGAATAAGTTCAATAGTAAACCAATAGCTGGAAAATCGATGCTTACCTATTTCTGGGATTCTAAAGGGCCAGTATTGGAGCACTATGAGAAAAAGCGTTCAACAATCAACAGTGCTCATTACAGTGAGATGCTCACTGAAGAGCTGAAGCCTCTGCATTGGTGTTAAATGCAGAAAACTGCTATCCAAGGGTATTGTGATCTTGCATGACAATGTACATCTGCATACCTCTGCCCACACTGTTGACACTGCAAAATCTTCATTTTGAGGTGTTAAAGCATCCTCCCTACAGTCCCAATCTTACTCCACTAGACTGTCACCTGGTTGGGTGCCCTGAAAACAGCCCTTCAAGGACGAAGATGCATCTATGATGAAGCAGTGAAAACAATGATACATTCATGGCTTGCAGCTCAGCCTGAAACATTTTTTAATAAGGAAATATGAAAGCTTGTTGACAGATGGACAAAGGAGAATATGTCAGGAAATGATGTATTTTTATTTTCTAAAAGTTGATTAAAATAAATTCTACAGCCAGAGTGCAGATAACTTTTGATTCACCCTCGTATCTATGAAAATTGCATGTTTGACGTGGTTTCTTCTCTAATATATATTTGTTGTTGTTGCTGTTTTGAAGTGACATCAAGTCAGTTCCAACTCACAGATCCTATATGGGATTTCCAAGAAGCTGCTGGTAGGTTTGAACCACCAACCTTGTAGTTAATAGATATGCTTATGCTACAGAGCCACAAATAGTTACTGTCCATGTGACATTTAAAATCATTCAACTTGCTACCAGTGTACATTTTCACACTATGACAAATGCTGGTCTAGATGGTTAGGGCCAGAGTTCAAGTGCCAGTCATATATGATCTGCTAGGCACTGGCTATGGACCCATTTGAGCCTGAGTTTCCTAATCTATGGAGTCCATGGGTGGTGGAATCGGTTAAATATTGGAGGCAAAATAATATTTTGTATAATAAATTGGCATATAGCAAACAATGAAGAAATATTTATTATTTCATTAGCATAGTCAGGCTATATAAAATTTCCTTTTAGAGAAGTTATATAGATCAGGCCCAAGAATTGTTTATTAATCAGGAAGGGAGATTGAGTTTATAGAAGTCAACTAGTAACTAGTAAATTTCCTACCATATTTTTTTTGTTGTTAAGTGCCATTGAGTCAGTTTCTACCCATAATGATCCTGTACGGGGTTTCCAAGGAGTGGCTGGTGAGCCTGAACCACTGACCTTGCAATTCAAACAGACTTCAGTCTAGTGCATTAACCCACAGCCCCACACCTGGACTCCTAGATTCTGCTAAAACAACATGGTGGTAATTTCTGACCTCTAATTTCACATAGTGACAGAATTGGCAGCAGCAAGGTTGATTCCTATAGACAGGGGTCAGACATGCCTTTTCTCTCCAATCTTGTTACCAATTCAGACATCAGTTTTCCCTCCCACAGCACTCTCTGCTTCTTGGCTGGGTTTAATGATGTATCACAATGGTCACACTGAACCCACAGACAATAATCACAATTAGAGAAGTAAAATGCTAGAATTCAGGATTGTAGAAAACTTAGGATACAGCAGTTTGGTCAGGATGGCCTCTTCATAGCTATACCTGCAGACAGGCCTTTTTACTGGCCTTTGGTCCTTGGCTCTTGGTCCCCATTCCTTTAGACTTCATAGGTGAGCACAGCCTCTGCCTTGCTTGTTACATTTTGGGTAACAAAGCTCTTTAGCTCCACCAATAAGTGCTCAGAGGTACTCCACTCTATCAGAAAGCCTCCTGCCTGAAGGTGCTCAGCTTTCTTGCTCTGTGGACAAGGAAGCCCATTGTGCTGTCTCACATTGTTCCCCTGGTTCTACTACTTCTGTTTCTCTGCCATTGGTTCTCTGTGTCTCTTGCCTTTGGGGTTACAGCTCTGTCTCTGTTTCCTGGGTCTAGTAGGTGCCCAGAGCAGGGGCCTCAAGCTAAAGGATGTACTCTATTCCTGGCTCTTCTTTCTTGGTGGTTATAAATTTCTTTCCCTGGTATTAGCAAAATGACCAATCCCCTCATTAGGGTGCCATACATCTTATTTACATAAGGAGCTCTGATAATGTAGTGATTATGAGTCAGACAGCTAACTTCAAGGTCAGCAGTTCAAAACTACCAGTGGTTCTCCCAAAGAAAGACAGGGCCTTCTGCTCCCATAAAGATTTGCAGCCTTGGAAACCTTATACAGGGTCCCTATGAATCAGAACCAACGCCACAGCATATAACCACCATCACCACACCTTATTTGCATAGTTCTACACCTAGAAGTCATGATTTGGCTCCAAAGTATAAGCACTGGAGTACTAACCACAAGACCAGTCATTGAAACCCACCATCCTCTCCTTGGAAACCCTATAAAATGTCATTATGGACTGACTCGACAGCACTTAACAACAATGATGACATGATTCTAAACTTGAAAAACCACACTCCACACTTGTCAATCCATATGTCGGCATTTTATGTCACCCTCACGCTGCCCTTGGGTCTCCTTCACAATGAATTTCTCAGCGAGGGTGACTCTTCACCTCCTCTTACTTCTCTTCCTCATTGTCTTCATCCTCATCCTCCTTTGTGTCTATTTCTTTTCTTCTCCTTCTCCTCTTTCTTCTTCTTTTAATTTAACTGAGCAAGATATGCAGTTGAGCCATCCTCTGCTATGGACTAAGTGCTGAGATGTGAACAGGAAGGTGCACATTCTACTCCCAAATCAGCTACAAGCAACTCTTCAATCTCTGCCACTCTCTTAGGCTCCCTGTGTCTTACATTACAATTGGGCAGAAGCTTTGCCCATGACCTCTCTCCCAGGGAGCTTAGTAATTCAATGAAGAATATTAAGGCTGTTACCATACCCTGAGACCCTAGAGCAAAAAGGGTACATATTCATGCCCCTTTGTGCAAAAAGTAGAGAGAGTGCCATTTGTTGGCCTATGTTTTGAATAAATGTTGAGAAGACATATTCCAACACAGAAACTGTTTTCTCTGGCATACTAGAGATGTGCCTCTAAGAGATTTCTGAATAAGACTTTGCTTCATACCTTCCATTTTTACCCTTGTTCTGACCACACCACTTCTCTGTTATTATTGCTCAGTGTGTAAACCATACCTATTCGGTGCCATCCAAATGTCAGCCGTTTGGAGGGGGACTTGGATGACAACCACAATGAAAAAAGACTAAGCAGGAAGCTGGTCAGGTCAATCAAGAGGTGAGCAGCATCCGTGATGACAGCGAGACTCCCAGCAATGTGGCCACCTGGGGGAGGCAGAATATTGTGCAAGATTAAGACTCACAAAACTTTACAACAGCGAGGATTTTAGGGTTTGGTTAATTCATCCTTCTAGTAAAGCAATTGAGACCCAGAGAGTAGGTAGGATCAGAACATGTAAAATGTTGTTGTTGTTGTTAAGTACCATGGAGTCGGTTCCGACTCATAGTGACCCAGCACAGGGTTTCCGAGGCTGTAAATCTTTATGGGAGCAGAATGCCTCATCTTTCTCCCACGGAGCCACTGGTAGTTTTGAACTGCTGACCTTGAGGTTGGCAGTCTGACTCGTAACCACTATGCTACCAAAATGGTGTAGTTATATGCCATGGAGTCCCTTCCGACACATCACGACCCTGTGTATGGGTTCCAAGGCTGCAATTTTTAATGGGAGCAGAAAGCCTCATATTTCTACCATGGAACGACTGGTAGTTTCAAACTGCTGACCTTGAAGTTAGCAATCTGACTCGTAACCACTATGCTACCAGAGCTCCTTGAGCATGTAGCATATCAAAGGAAAATCTATTCCTGGTAGATCAAAGGTTGAGATATTGAAAAGTGTGAGTCACATTTGGGGAACATCACAGTTAGGCTGGGCCACTACCATGCACAACAGGAGACCATAGAAAGATGAAGATAGAAAGGTTTCAGTCATATTCAAAGGATTCCATACTCCGGACTGAGAACCTGGATTTCTGTCTGTAAACCAGAGGCCACAATCTGGCCCACACATGTATTTTTAGTTGACTTGTAATCTTACCATCATTTTTACCACTTCATTTTGTTTTACTAACTTATGTGACCCACCTAAGCCCTAAAGCTTTGCGTTTGAAATCACTGCTATCATAGAGGAGAGCAGTAAGAAGATAGGGAGGCACCTTCCAACAGTTTTTTTATTGCAACAGCAATCCAAGCTATGTATTCTTACTTAAATTTTCTCACCATTTGGAGCACTTTTAATGTTGTTGTTTAGTGCAGTAGAGTTAGTTTTGACTCATAGCAACCATGCATAGGGTTTCCAAGGAGCAGCTGGTGGGTTTGAACCACCAGTCTTGTAGTTAGAAGTCCAGAGCTTATCCTACAGCACCACATTAGGCCTCTTACTGTTGTTTTTTTCTGGTTCTCCTTTGAGAGAAAGACTTCCAGCCTTCTTATGAATTGTATTGTGTCCCCCGAAAATGCAGGTTGTCAATCCTAAACCATATAGTCCCATTTAGAAATAGGGTTTTCTTTGTCATGCTAATGAGGTCATATCATAGGATATGTTTTAGCCAATCACTTTTGAGATGTAAAAGGAGCAAAGTAAGCAGAGATGAAAGGAAGCGCAAATCAGAGAAGATTATTGCCATGTGAAGATCACCAATGAGCCAAAGAAGATAAACTGAAAGAGACATACCTGGGGGCTTCAAAATACTTAAGGAAAAATTCTGCTATGTTATAAATCCATTTTTCGATAAATACCCCTCCCATTTTCTGAAGCCCCCTTTATATCTCCCCCAGAGCAGACAGAGAGTCTTCCTCTAGAGCTGGTGCCATGAATTCAGGTGTTGAGCGGTGCAAAGGTTAAGAGCTCAACTGCTCATCCAACAGTGGTGGTAGAAACCCTTCAGCACTCCTCGGGACAGAAGCCTGGTGACTGCTGCCATCAAAGATCATTGTTGTTAAGTGTTGTAGAGGCAGTTCCGACTCATAGTGACACTGTATAGGGTTTCCGAGGAACGGCTGGTGAGTCTGAACCACCGGTCTTGCAGTTCAAACCGACCTTGAGGTTGAGTGCTTACCCCACAGTACCACACCAGGACTCCAAAAAGATTGCCACCAAGAAAACTTTATAGGACACCTGTAATCTTTCACATCAAGTTACTAGTACTGTTGTTAAGTGCCAGGTATTCAATTCCGACTCATCGCAACCCTGTGAGTCATTTTCCAAGGAGCAGTTGGTGGGTTTGAACCTCCAACCTTGTGGATGGCAGTCAGTGCTTTTCCAACAGTGCCACACCAAGTCACTACTAGGAATTAAAAATGGACTCAATGGCTAATATTAATAAAACAGCATCCTAACGTGTAAGAAAGTGTTCTTTACACACACAGCAGCACTAGGTAATGAAACCAAGCCTTCAAATTAGAAGTTAAAGAAAACTTGTCTTTTCCTTTTCTCACAGGACTTTATTGTGCTTATTACGTCTTCCCAGCAAAGAGCTTTTGCTGACTGATTAGTCGTCCCAGCAGCTGTTTATTGCCTTGCGTGCTACCAAGCAACGGACTCTGCCAGTCACCAACCTCTCTATCACCAAGCTCACCTTGTCTCACCTAATGATTTAAAAAAATTACATAGATGGCTCATAATTGCAATAATCCCCACAGACCGCTGGCTGTAGCTATAGTTAATAACTGGTTTGTCAAAGTTTAATGGTCTGAAGCAAAGTAGTCTTCAAGCTTTTTACTGAGTTGTCAGTGCAAAAATCAGAATGATTCATTAGCCAAAAAGCAACATTTTGCTAACAAATCAGCTGTCCTTTCAATTATCCTCTAATGTTGCTCAATCTGCCAAACTTGTGTTTGATAATAAAGCTGCGTTAATAATGCATTATTTCTTGCCCGGTGCATGACGACATGTAAATTAAGCAGTACGCTGTAATCTCAGCCGTGAATGATGATGATGATTCTATGCGCTGGGCTGAAATTGGGGCCGAAGTCAGGGAAATGAAGGCTTATAGGGTTTGTTCAACAGGCTCCGCTGACTCAGAAGGCAGTTGGGAAAGAAAAAAGGACTTGCTTTGAAAAGAGCATGTTGATCTGTAAGGCATGGAACTGTGAACAATTCTGTACCGATCAGAGCTACTTAAATGAACAGTCCAGAAAACTCTGGTTAATCATGCTCAATCCTATGGAGCAAACTGTTTGCAAGAGGTAGGTTACAACTGATTTTGCATTTACTTCTGAAAGCATGGGGTATTATTGGCAATTAATTCAATCATCCAGCCAGTATTTATTGAACCCTTACTGTGCTTAATACCAAGGACAAGATATACAAAGGTAAACAAATTGCAGCTCCTCTCTTCAGCGATTTCATTGTCTAACACTCAACCATACTGAAACTGTCTGGTAGGCTAGGGTATCAGAGAGGCAGTCTAGCTGGGAACATTAAAGATCTGTTCACAGAAGACAGAGGCAGGAATTAGCAAGAGGAGATAGTTTTTTTCAGGAAAACCAAAGTGCATAATCAAAACCACAGAGAAATGAAAGAGCATGGTACCTTCGCGGAGGGGAAGAAGGTTTGGAGTGTTGGGGAAGGTTGGATAATAAGACTGGAAAGCTGGGTTGGGGGTCCTTTGTTTGGCATTTCATACATCATGTCAAGAAATTTGAATGTTATACTTTGGGCTAAGGAGATCTACTTAAGATTTTGATCTTGGAGAGAAATATTTGCCAACAGTTCTGAGGGAGGAGAAGCTAGAGGCTAAAATGCTATTGTAATGCCCAAAGGAATTTATGAGCGAGGCATGAACCAAGGCAGTTATGGTTGTATTTCTGGATTACTTAGCAATACTTGGAGAGCAGTGTCCTTGTAACAAGGCAGGAGAGGAGCAGAAAAGCAAAAATTTTTGGAGAGACCCTACATAGAGCCTGTGGGATGGAGGTGATAATAAGAAGGGAAATTAGACATTAGGCTTAAACTTTATACTCACAAATCACTTCAGAGTTCGATAGTTAAGACCACAATAAATTTTCCTGGATGACAAGCACACACTGACAAGATTAAAAGAAGTAAATGCTCATCTGACAACATTGTGCCTATTTAATGGAAACCCGCTTTGCAGACTATGAATTCATGTCTTCTTAAATTATAGAGCTCTGTTAGTGTAGTGGTTATAAATCGGGCTGCTAGCCTCAAAGTCAGCAGTTTGAAACTACAAGCTGCTCCAAGGGAGAAAGATGAGGTGTTCTGCTCCCGTAAAGATTTACAGCCTCAGAAACCTTGTGCAGGGTCACTATGAGTCAGAACCGACTCCACGGCACATAACAACAACAACAATTATTTTAATAACTTTTTTATAAGTTAAATCATAATTATCTAATTATTTTATGTGCTGTTGAGTCTATTTTTGACTCATAATGATTCCATGCGACAGAGTAGAACTATCGCATAGAATTTTCTAGATCCTGGTGTGATGTTGTGGATTAATGTGCTGGATTACAAGGTCGATTTGAACTTCAAGGTCAGCGGTTCAAGCTCGACAGCTGCTCCTCAGAAACCCTATTAAGGGTTGTTATGGGTCAGAACCCACGTGAAAGCATTTAGCAACAACAACAACAATCTTTACAGATGCAAATGGCCAGCTCTTTCTCCTGCAGAGTCATGGAATGGGGGCGTGAGGGGGTGTCAAACTGCCAGCCTTTCCATCAGAAGCTGAGTGCTTAAGCATCAACCCATTGCATCAGCAGAGCTCCTAATACTATGTTATGCCCCAAACACACTAAGTTGTTATTTCACAGTATGGACAGTATACCTGTTTACACCTGCACTACCTCTCGCTCATAACTGTTACAATTAAGAATGTTGACAAGCAATCAGCAAGAGTTCCAATTCAGTAGGTTCAAAGGCCCCTTCACAGTGGATGCATTGATGCTTACAGCTTTCTTCAATTCCTTCCTCTAATCTACTCTGTACCTAAACCCAGTTATCCTTTGTAAGCACAGCTCTCTCAACTGACTCTCCAAAATTCTAAGCATCAATTATTCTCCAAAGTCTGCAGAATGAATACAGATTGTTTAACTGAGTCTACAGATCATTTGTGACCCCTTCCCGTCCTTTCGAGATTTAACCTTCCACTCCCACATACACACCACTGTCTCAGATAGAACATCACATTTTATTCATTAATAATGATATAAACATCATAAAGAATATATTAGTAACTTAGATTCAGCAATGCATTTCAAGAATAGCCCACCCTGGTCATGTTGAGGGACACCGTAGAGAAAGCCT